TGTCTCTTCCCTTCCCAGTTTATCCAAAGCAGGAGCCAGACAAGCTACACATATTACAGACAAGTGATGTCTCCTGTCTCTTTTGCTCTCCTAATCCCCTCTCTTATGTTTTCCCCTTGTATTGTACTAGCTAAAAAACCAAGCAGTGTGTTCTATGTGTATTTTCCTACAGCCTGCATATTATCTTTTAAATATGTAATATACATATTATACCTATCTATTATCTATTCATCCATCTATCCAATCTATCTCCATGAAATTCCTCAGTAAAGTGGTATTTAGCATTTTCTGGTTCTGGTTCTACTTTTGGCATTTAGAAAACCTTATGGAGGCCTGCTGTGTACACAGAGACCTGATTATTTCATACTTCATCATGAAGACTTAGATCTTATTTCTCTCTTCATGGATCTCTTATATACAAAGCTCTCCTCAGGATAAGCTGATAATCGAGTGAGGAACAACTAACAAGCTGACTTGTCGCCTAGTGGCAGCCCCTAATGAAATGATGGATTTTGCCAGTGATCATTAGTAGATGTTAACACCAGAAAAGGAAATATCCTAGCATGGTGTCAGTTCCATTGGAAGCACACCCTACCACCTAGAAAGTACTTCTGGAGTGGTGAGAATCAAGTTGGAGTGTAGATGAGTCAAGGTTGCCCAGGAGTTGATAATTTGAAGTTTTGTGAATAGTCATGGCAGTGTATTGTCCTGACATGTCTAATTCTCTTTGTATTTGAAATCTCTTCTTTTCTTTGTCTCTGTTTCAAGACATGGTTTCTCTAGCCCAGGTTGGTCTCAAACTCTCAATCCCTCTACTTTCGACTCCTGTCATGTTAGGGTCTGAGGTGTTCACCAACACACCCACCTGGAATTTGTCTGTGGATGTGTATCCACTACACGTGTGTGCAAATGCATGTGGAGGCCGGAAGTTGCATCTCTTCCAGATTACTCTCCACTGTAATTTTTTGAGACAAGGTATTTCATTCAGATTGTCTAGACTGGTTGTCCAGTGAGTTCCAGGGATCTGCTGGTCTGCTTGCCCAGCCCTTGCATTATAAACACCCCTGCTAGACCCAGATTTTTATGTGGGTGCTGGGGATCTGAACACAGATTCCCAGGCTGTGTTGTCAGGTACTTTACTGGGCTGAGATAGCTCTCTAGCCTCTGAAAATTTCACCTTGGGTTTGTTTGTTTGTTTTTTGAGACAAGTCCTTACTGTGTAGCCTTAGGTGGCCTGGAGCTTACTATGTAGACTATTTACAGAGATCTGCCTGTCTTCAGAGAGCTGGTAATAAAGGCATGTGCCACCATGACCCACCTGAAATTTTTTAAAGATTTATTTATTTGTTTGTTTGTTTATTATGTATACAGTGTTCTGCCTACATGTATGCCTGCTGGCCAGAAGAAGGCACCAGGTCTCATTACAGATGGTTGTGAGCTACCATGTGGTTGCTGGGAATTGAACTCAGGACCTCTGGAAGAGCAGTCAGTGCTCTTAACCTCTGAGCCATCTCTCCAGCCCCTGAAATTTTTCTTAATAAAACATTTTTTAATGTTGAGTAATGATTACAGGTATGATCCTTGGGTTATAGTGCCCTACCAAGGCATTCTCGTTTGATTGGTTGATTGGTTTGCTGGGCTGTTTTGAAAGTATTTGCTGGGCTGTTTTGAAAGTATCTTATGTAGCGCAATCTGGCCTCAAAGTTGCCATGCAGCTGAAGCTGGCTGGTTTTGGTATCCCAGATCCTCTTAGCTCTACATTCTAAGTGCTGGGGTATGCATCACCTAGCATGTTCCACTCTATAGTTCTAAATGTGACTCATGGTTAGAATTACAGGGGAACAACCTTTGTACCCCCTTTAAAAAGTACTAAACATGTGCCTTACAGAGTTCTCTATTTAATTGTTCTGAAATGGGACCTAATCATTGGTGTTTTAAGCTCCCTGAAGAATTCTGATATGCTCCTGGTTTTCCCAGCCTCTTGTCTAGACCCATTATTTGTTGGGGATAGCAACAATTATGTAAAATAGAGGTAGAAGACTCGGATGAGAGATGAGGAAATTCTGAGAATGAAAATGCCTAATCCCAGAACTGTAAAGAAACACATTTCTTTCTGCCAGCTTCTGTCTCCCAGGTTTTCAGGAGTGACAAACAATATGAACCATAGATTCCAGTAACAATTACATCCTGTCCTTCTGTCTCCTGTTAACTAGCCTTTAAGTTAACTTCCTACCTCTTGAACATGACAGTGCACTAAGGAAGGAATGCAATAAGCCTATACACATTAAACTACTTAACTGTCAAAAGGTAAGCTTGGTCTTAGAAGCAAAACTGTGGAGTAGCCGGGCGTTGGTGGCGCACGCCTTTAATCCCAGCACTCGGGAGGCAGAGGCAGGCGGATCTCTGTAAGTTCGAGACCAGCCTGGTCTACAAAGTGAGTTCCAGGACAGCCTCCAAAGCCACAGAGAAACCCTGTCTCGAAAAACCAAAAAAAAAAAAACAACAACAACAAAAAAAAAAACTGTGGAGTAGCTCACAGAAGGGATACTAACGGTGACCTTAATGCTTGGGTATAGATAACCACCTTGTGTGTGAGGCCTGTGCAGGGCAAAGAGAGTAGGGAGCTGTTTCCCAAAATGGAAAGGAAAACTAAATGTTATGTAGTTATAGAAGCATGTTTAGCCTTTTATTATATTAAAAAATTCACTTTAAATATAAAACAAAAATAAGTAAAACATTGCTCATTATAGCTGAAAACATTCCAAAGATTTAAGTTAGCAGATAGTCTCCTGTTCATCCTCCCATCATTCTAAAGATCCAGAAGATGACTAATATTAATGATATGTTGTATGCCCTTCTCACCACACTCTAATATAAGTGAATAGTGACTTGGGGCATTGCTCTAAAAAATGAGATTATACTGCAGCCATTTATAATTTTTCCCACTGTTATCCTTGTAGTTACAGATCAGAGTCTTTACCTATATAATAATATAATCCAATAGAATAATTAATATTAAGAACATACACTAGTCATTTTCCTGTTGACATAAATGTAAATTGCTTCTATATTTTAGCCCATCCAGAGGCACCACAGTAAGCCTTATTAGACTAGATTCCAGAAAATGAGATGGCTTGGGTTTATTATTAACAGTATCACAACTGGCAATATTTATTATCAAATTATTATCCCAGAGCGTAATAGCAATTCACCCCTCCACCATCAGTAACTTGTGATTACACCTGTTTCCCCATTTCCCATCACCACAAGTAGCTCTGGTTGGCATCGCTTAATTAGCATCTGCCAGCGGATATGTGGGAAAATTGGGACTCTTTGTTCTTTAATTTGCTGAACACTTTTCATGCTTCTAATCTTTTGAATGTATTCTATTACTTGGTATGTATCTTCTTTATTTGTGTGTGTGTGTCAGTATTTTTATTGAATGTGTTTCCATAAATTAAAAGGAGCTGGAAGGGGCACATGTGGTAGTCAGAAGACAGCTGTAAGAGCTGGCTCTCTTCCCACCGTGTAGGTTCTGGGGATTGAACCCAAGGAACCACTTCTCCAACACTGACTAAACGTTTTAGGAGGCTTTAATCTCTTAAAAACAATTTTCACAAGTACTGTATTTATACTTTTTCCACCTCTCCCTTTCCACTTCTAATTCATCCCTGCCCCTCCCACTTTCAAATTCATGACCTCTTTTTTAATTACTACTGTTACACACATATGTACACATATGTATATACAACCTACTGAATCCATTTAGTGTTGTTCATGCATCATATGTTTAGGGCTGACCAGCTGGGATTGGGTAGCTAGGGAGTGGAGGAATCCCTGAGTGAAGTCCTGAGTGAATGTGCTGTTGACATGGACACGGCCATGTCATGGACCCTAACCTCAGACCCATTGGAAACAACAGGAAAAGCCTACCCCTCCCTCCACAGGGTGAGGCTCACAGGGATGGCAAAGCCTTCCTCAGGAGTCCAAGTATGAGTGTTGACAGAATGCGCACAAGATCTCCACCTTGGCACCTACTCCCTTTTACAGTCTGAAGACTGCTCCCCTACAGAGAGCGCTCTTGCTGAGATGAGCTAAACCTGACTCTTTGATCCAGCTGTATGTCATCACCCTGCCTCCTTGTTCAGCTATGTGCAAAAAAGTCCTCTCTGTTCAACTCTATATAATAAGCACAGCGAGCTTCTGGGGTGTTGGGTTTGTCCATGAGATAGCCCAGCCCACCCAACCCCAGCTGTTTGTGTATGTCTATGCAAGTTTGTCTTTTCTTATTCTCTTGCTGCCTCAGTTAGGTCCATCCATGCAGGTGGCTAGTCTCTGGGAAAAAAAAACCTCATTCATCCATTGATTGTAACTCTTCATCTAGGGGTGGGACCTTTTGACATGTCTGCCGGCCATGTGGCCTGGCACTATCATCTGAAGGCCACGTTTAGGCAACCGTGGTATTGAGACTTCACATTCTTGTGCAGCTTCCTAGTCACATTTGGAAGGCACACGTAGCAGCAGGCATCCTGGTCATCCAGCTCTTACAAAATCCTTCTGCTCCTTCTGAGATTTTTCCCTCAGCCTGAGGTTTTGTGGATGTTTACCTTTTTTTTTTTTGTCATTTGACTGAGTTTTTGATACACAGGCATTACAAAAATGGTGTAACGTTACTTTTAAATTTCCAAGCTTCTTGCCTCTCTACAAGAAAGACTTTTCCACTCCCCAAAGTTATATATTCTCTGGATCCTACACCCCAGTGTTGGGGGATGGAGCCAGAGCCTCTGGAATGCTATGCAAAGGCTCACCTATTGAACTATATCCCCAGAACTCTTCTAATTTTAAAACACATCTAATCTCTTTGGATTTGAGTTTCTACCTCATGTGGAACTGGTTATTCATAAGTTTCAGCTAACCCTCATTTACTACAGGTGACCCACATCTCCCATCACATCCACAGTCAAAGGTGGCACAGATCTCGTGAGAATAGTGCCAGGAGTTGGCCGAAACCTTCACACTCACTGGGTTGCAGATCACTGGAAAGAGTAGCTAGAGTCCCAGCTGGAGGTATACTTAAGATCGCTCTTCTGGTCTGTCCACAAGGCCTTGTGTTTGAGCCTCGGAACTTGGAGAAGGCAGAGGCAGACTAACCAACAATTAACTCTGTCCTTGAAGGAAGGATACCTTTTGCATTGCTGTGAAATATCAATAGTTATCCAGTACCCTGGTCCTTCAGATGAAGTGGTGGTCACCATGGCCACCACTCGGTGAGCATGATCAAATACTCTCTCTTGTTCAGAACCTTCACCAGAACCAAACCCAGGTATTGTTGATTGTTTTTTACTCTTTCTCTTTGGGCTCTTTTGCTCTTTGGGGGTGCCACTACCCAGCTCCCAAATAAATCACACTTGGAGAGACCTATTATTACTTATAAACCACCCATCCTTAACTTGGCTTATTACCAGTTTTACTAAACTTAAATTATCCCAATTCTTTTTTGCCTCGGGGCTTTTTCCTTCTCTTACTTCTATATATCTTACTTTCACTCTTACTCTGTGGGTGGCTGGGTGGTTGGGTGGCTGGATCCTGGTGTCCTCCTCTCCTTGCTCCTGCCTTGCTCCTCCCAGATTTCTCCTATTTATTCCCTTCTGTCTGCCACCACCGCCTATCCTTGCTCCTGCCTCAATATTGGCTGTTAGGGTTAGGGTTATTAGACCATCAGGTGTTTTAGACAGGCAAAGAATCACAGCTTCACAGAATTAAACAAATGCACCATAAACAAAAGCAACACATCTTTTACACATTTAATTAAAATGTTCCAGAGCGTAAACAAATTTAACACACTTTAAAATAAGATTCCACAACACCCAGGTGGGGCTTAGTGTTTATTGGGACTTTAAAAAAATGAACTAGTGTAAGTATGGAGCCTTCTCATAGACCTTCTCACCCTTTACCCTCCATTTTCTTCTGTACTGACATTAGTCTGGTAAGTTCATTAGTTAGTGTTGACAATTATTAACAAACATTATTTGGATTTTTGTGTTGTGCACTGTGTGTTCAGATATACAATAACATTTCTTTGTATATGTGATACTGTGGTCAAAGCCAGAGCTTTGTACACGCTAGGTAAGTACTGTACCCGTTACAGTCCCATCTCCATATAACTACATTGCTGACTTGATTGTCACATAGAATGGTTTTGTTTCCTTAAAAATGTGCTTACCCTGTTGATCATCTCCCTGACATCATGGCATACACTCATCTTTTTACTGTCTCTGTAGTTTGTCTTTCTGAGATTGTCATAGGGTTGGAATTCAACTATAGTGTTTTACTTATAGTGCCAGGTACTAAGCCCAGAGCCTTCTACATGCCAGGCAAGAGCTAACCTCTAACCCTTCAAATATATATAAATAACTAGGAACTGGTTCCCTCCACCATGTGGATTCTAGGGGCCAAACTCAGATTGTCAGGTATAGTGGCAAGCAGTCTAACCTGCTGATCCCCCAAACTCTAGTACTGCTGTTGTTGTTGTTGTTGTTGTTGGTGGTGGTGGTGGTGGTGGTGGTGGTGGTGTGTGTGTGTGTGTGTGTGTGTGTGTGTGTTTATATAAGGTTTGGTGACTTGTAGTTTTAGCCAGTTAAGATATAGCCAGGACTGGGGGTATAGCTCAGTGGTAGAGTACCAGCGCTATTTTAAACCATCAAACAGACCATTTTAGCCAGAGAATAAATAGGGATCAAAGGTATAGCTCCATGTTCAGCAAGTGTGAAAATCTGGGTTCAATCCCAGCACCCAAAATCAACCAGTCAATCAATCAATCAGTGAATCTCAGAGGAATGTGTTTTGGTGCAGTGATTTTTTTTAATAAACCCAGGTGATATTTCTTTTGCAGGGTGGAAGATGTCTATGGATGTGACCTTTCTTGGGACAGGAGCAGCATATCCATCCCCAACCCGGGGTGCCTCAGCTGTGGTTCTTCGGTGTGAGGGCGAGTGCTGGCTCTTTGACTGTGGGGAGGGAACACAGACACAGCTTATGAAAAGCCAACTTAAAGCAGGTTAGTGTGCATTCAACTTACCTGGATTTGCCTTAGGTTGTGTTTCATGCCTTGACTCTTAGGGAACCTGTTGTTCTGTAACAGCCCAAAAGTAGTACCCACTTCAGAACTAGAGCTCTTTCTGGCAAGACTTCGAAGAGCATCAGGCATCCAGCAGTGCCTGCTGAGTGTCACATATACCTTTACTTGCTTCTCACTTACCCACTAAGTGTTGAGAGAAGGGGTTATGAAGGCCTGGGCATGCAGGATATCGAAAGACACAGGTGTAGCAGATGGACCCTGTCCTAACAAGGGAGTGGTGGCCATACTGGTCTCCACGGGAGATAGTGTTATGGGAGAATGCAAAGGGCAGTTGATGCTATCATGTTAGCCATCTCAGACAAGTTTATCTATGAACTGCTGAGAGAGGAGAATCCCTGGCTGGGCAGAATGGGAGTCCAGCTTGAGGGAATGGAGTAGTGAACCAAGACCTTGAGGTAGAGGAACCCGTGGTGAAAACTGTCTACCCAGATACAGGCACACCTGGGTGTTAGTCCCAGTTGTATCTCAGGCTCGACCTTAGCAGAGCAGTGGGCTTAAATTTGCTTTTCTTGTCTCAAAGAACAGTGATACAAGCTGCCTAAAAGAAATGTTATAAACCAGGTGTGTGACACTTGCTTGGAGTCCTAGAACTGTGTCGGTAGAGAGGATTGTGAGTTAGAGAACAGCCCTGAGCTACACAGTGAGAACTTATCTCAAAAAAACATTGAGGGAATTACATATGCTAAGTAATTGATATCCTACATGGCTACTTCCATCTCATTATTTAAATCTTTAAAAATAATTTCTAATAACAATTATCAGGTTTTCATCATTTAAATGTTAAAGGCTTTTCCTCAAGGTTTTCTGAACCTCCTGGGCTAAGTATCCTCTCCCTTACCCCAGGCATTCCTTTATTTTATACCATTTTTATTAACTTTTTAGCATCATTAGTGTCTGAACTATGTTACTTAAGTAGTTTGTTTTTGTGCTTGCACGGTGATGTACAGTCAGGTAGGGTTAGTGACACGGTGTGACTGATAAACGCCTAATAATGTTTATTGTGAACAGATGGACATTTAGGGTCTCCCACTTTTGAGGTCTTGATAAATCATAGCTGCTACAGATCATCAGAGGGTGTGCACTTAGTATTTAAAGAAATACACTTCTAGTGTCCAGGGACCAGAAGCCATCAATCATGTAGATACAGGAAACATGAAAGAGGGGCACTAATTGTGGTGGAATGCATGTTCGGGCTGTGTGCTAACCAAGTTCCAGTCCCCATCATTAAAACCAAAATCAACAAAGCAAAAGAAATGAACATTGACTGATTCTTAAAAGTATTGGAAAAACATGATCTTAACACAATGGTAAAAACTTTAAATGGGACTATATGCAGGACCCTTGATTTAGCCCCCAATACTAGAAATAATTTAAATTACATACATACATACATACATACATACATACATACATACATATATACAGTGTGTGTGTGTGTGTGTGTGTGTGTGTGTGTGTGTGTGTGTGTGTGTACTGGCAATTGAGTGCTCTACCACTGAGCAATATTCTAGCTATTTTTATTTTTCCAAGTTTTTATTTTGAGATAAGATTTTGCTAAGTTACCCATTAACTGTCCTTGAATTCACTCAGTTGCCCAGGAAGGCCTTGAATTTGTGGTCTTCCTGACTCAACTTTCCCAATAGTTAGAATAACAGGCCTGTGCTACCAGGTTTGGCTCATTTCAAGTGTGTGTGTGTGTAAGCGTGTTCATGCATGCTAGAGCTGGAGGCAGGAAGGAGAGGAAGAAAAACATGTTGCTGAGGCTGCTCTGTTGATGCATTCCTGTTAGCCCCATACTTAGGTTGTAGAAGCAGGAAGATTAGGAGTTCAAAGCTATCCTCTATGCTTGAATCAAGCCCAAGCTATATGCGACTTTGTCTCAAAGGAACAAAATTATAAAATTTTTAAACACATATTTTTATTGAAGAAATTCAAATAAAACAAAACTATAAAGTATAAATAAGAAAAGTCTGAGTCTTATACGCACTACACACAAACACACACACACACACACACACACACACACACACACACACACACACACACCCATACATACCTCTTTCTCTTTTCTTGGAAGCAGAGTTCCATGTAGTCCAGGAGGTGTTGAACTTGTTACGTAGCCCATGACTTTGAATATCATCAGTCCTCTTGCCTTTCCAACCCAAGTGCTGGGATTACAGGCATGGACCACAACATCCAGTTTTATGTAGTGCTAGGGAGTGAATTCAGGGCTTCGTGGATAATGGGCAAACACTCTACCAACTGAGTTGCATTCCTAGCTCTCACAGGTACATTTCCTATAAATATACATGTAGTAGTGGTGTGAATATGTATAGAGGTATGTGAAATTTGCCTAATGGAATCACAGTTTACTCGACATTAGCTGCTTTTTTATCTGAGCAGTGTATGTATCATATACTGTAGAAGAGCAGATTTAATTACGTCACCATGTTGAACTGAGGATGTTTAGTGTTCTGCTTCTTTGGGCAGTGTTTCCCCACCACTTCTTTCTTCTTAGGGGAAAGGAATCTGGTGAGATTTTCACCCTTCATCTGATAGCTTCCTCATACCTTTCATAACTGCGGTTGCCATTCCTTGTCTCTCAGAAATCACATTTCCTGAAAATGAAATGCCTGGCCTTCTTGAAACTGATAACTGTGGGAAGCAGTTTTTCCTTTTCTTCATTTGCTGTGCTTGTTTTGGGTTGCAGGCTGTTTTGTATTCAGCTTTGGCTTTGTTTTGTAATAGATAGTGAGAAGGCCTAAAAAGTGATGATGACAGTTTTAAGGCCAACATGGGATCTGGACTCAGTTGCTCCTGTAGTTTTTTGTTTCTAAAGTCCTTGGGTCATACTGAGAGGTGGCCTGGGAAGGGGGAATGGAGAAATTTAAGGAATATACTTTCATTTGAAGTAAAAAAAAGGCTAAAAAAGAGTCCTGAGGTGTGTAGCTCAGTGAGTGCACACTTGCCAGGTGTATGTGTGACACTCTAGACTGAATCCCCAGCACCACACAGAAATTACAGGACAAACCTGAGGAGGAGAAGAGCAAAGGCAGCACGCATAGTGGGAGAAGAACCTTGTGAAATGAGAGAGCATCTCCTAGGATGGGGGTGGGGGTCCTCCAGGACCCCAGTCAACCTCTGAGCCGCCATTGCTCAGCCACTGCAGCCTCAGCACGGTCATTCTGGGAAGACTTGCTTTGAGAGCATTTGCTGTCAGAACAAATCACAGTGTGATAAACTGTTCCTGTTCTTTTATGGCATCAATAAAATGCTCCTGTACTTTTATGGTATCATATACTGCAGATAGGTGGCCCTTGAGCCTGTTCTACTGGAAATGTGCTGGTTGTGATTGTTACTTTCAAAATGCCTGTGGTGCATTTCTCCACTTCTTCGGAGAAAATGCTGATGTGGCATCCTGCCATTTACCAGCAGTAATTCAGTTTACCATTAGCTAAATCGAGTTAGAAGCTAAGCCAGTGTGCACTGAAAAAGCTGTTGTATAGGTTCAGACTGGGAAAAAGAGTTGGGCCTGTGTGCCCTCATGTAGTATGATCAGGGATCTGCCTTCAGTCTGCATGCTGGCATCTGGTGTCCATGTCCTCGTCTCTTACTTTGTTCCTCTTCTAGTTTTCTTATCCTTCATTCTCAGTCCTTGTCCTATTTGTCCTTCCTCCACATCCTCACAGGGACAAATGTTCAGTCTTTGTTGGTGAATCCCTGTCCTGAAAGGAGACCTTAAAAGACAGTTTTGGGTTTAGGCCTGATCCAATTAAAACAATGGAACATTTCATTTCGATGTTTGCAGGTCTCAGAGGGACTGATAGGGGACAGTGTAACCGAAAGATGCTTTGATACTTGAGGCCCATTTAGTTAAGTGAGTTATCTTGATGTACTTTATATTTCACTTTTTAAAAGTGAGGATATGTAGGGAAACACTTTAAAAGCTATAAAACACTATAATTTGAAGAGTTTCATAGAAAAAATACTATCCTATTTAAACTGTCTGGTGAAGCTGAACTTGGTAGTTCACACCTATAATTCTATCACTTGGGAGGCTAAGGAAAAAGAGTTGCCACAAGTTCAAGGCTGACTGGATTACATAGTGAGTTCCAGGCTAGCATGGGTTTTAGAGTGAGATCTTGTCTCAGAAAACAACCAAGTAGGGCTGGGTAGATGTCTCAAGGATAGGAGTGCTTGCTGTCCAGCATGAGGCCCTGATTCAAATCCCTCATCTACGTAAAAAACTGGGCGTACCTGTGTGGTGCCTATAACCCCGGCATTAGGGGGTAGTCAGAGAGGCAGATCATAGGAGCTCACTAGTCATCCGGCCTAGCCATAATGGTAAGCTTCTGGTTTATGAGAGACCCTGTCTCAAGATAATAAAGTAGAGAGCCATAGAGGAAGACACCCAAACTCCTCCTCTGGTCTCTACATGCATGTATATCAACATATTCATGTGCATAGACTACACACACAGCACCACATTCACCCCACAGAAACACACACAAAACCAAACAACCAGACAGACAGACTTCAGAGCATAATAAAGCCTCTGCCTATGTTTTCTAGAGTCACACAGCAAAATGGAAGGAATAAATAAGTGTGTGGTAGCATACGGAATGTATAACTTCAGTCTACTGCTTTTTTATAGAAGTTCTTATGCTTGTTTTTAATTGCTTTGTGTGTGGAACAGAGGCTGTTCCTCAGTGACAGTGCAGTGGTAGATAGAGCAACATCCCAGTATGCACAAGGTTAACCTCCCGCATGGGGCAGAGGGGTGGGGATGCTGAGTCAAATAGTTTTGCCTTGGCTTTTATTTCTGAAAAATTTTCTAATATATTTCTCTGTCTCAATTAAAAGGGAGAATCACCAAGATCTTCATCACACATCTTCATGGAGACCACTTCTTCGGCCTTCCAGGCCTCCTCTGTACGATCAGTCTACAGAGTGGCTCTGTGGTCACAAGGCAGCCTATTGAAATCTATGGCCCTGTAGGGCTTCGGGACTTTATCTGTAGAACCATGGAGCTCTCCCATACAGAGTTGGTTTTTCCTTATGTGGTCCATGAGATAGTGCCTACAGCTGATCAGTGTCCTGTGGAAGAACTAAAAGAATGTTCACATGTGAATGACGCAGACAGCTCTCCCAAAGGACAGGGACGAACTATCTTGTTAGACACGGAAGAAAACTCATACTGTCTGGTTGATGATGAGCAGTTTGTTGTAAAAGCATTTCGCCTCTTTCACAGAATTCCATCCTTTGGCTTTTCAGTTGTGGAAAAGAAGCGTGCAGGTAAACTCAATGCACAGAAGCTGAAAGACCTCGGTGAGTATGCCTTTCCTTCTCTGGAGCTGAGCTGTTTTAAGGAAGCCACTGAGAGTATCAGGGTAGCCTGTTTCCTGTGTGGTCACAGGAAGCGCTCACTTCGTTAGCCCAAAATTTGCTTATTAAGGAAAATCTTTAGGGTCCAAAGATGCTATTTAGAACAAAACTTGAATATTTAATATATTTGAATCTGTTCTTGTTAGCTTCCTGGATTCACATTCTTTTTTCTTTTTTGGATACACTGGGAGTTGAATCTAAGACATATTCTAGGCAAGCAGTCTCTACCACTGAGCTATATCTCCAACTCTTTTGCTATTTTTTACCTGAGCCAGGATCTCCCTAATTTGCCCAAGGTGGCTTTGAGTATGAGATCCTTCTGAGAAGCTGGAATGCAGCCTGTATGACCAGGCCCAGCTCTGATTTGGTTGGAAAGGTGATTTGAATTGGGTTGGTAAGTCCATGATTTGATTTTTATTTCCTTGTGCTTCCCTTTTTGATTTATATTGGCCATGCTAGGGTTCAAGCCCATGTGCTCTACTACTAAGCTATACTCCTAATCTTCATGTCTTATTTTTGAAGTTATTGTATTTTTGTTTTTAAAATCTGTTTCTTTTTTTATTTTTGTTTGATACAGGGTTTAACTCTGTAGCCCAGCCTGGCCTACAACTCACTATGTAGCTCAAATTCAAACTCATGATCCTCCAGCCTCTGTCTCAAGATTGGTTGGAATTTGAAATGTACACAGTCCTGAGGTATGTTTTCAATGACATCTTTGTGTGAAGTGTGTGTGTGTGTGTGTGTGTGTGTGTGTGTGTGTGTGTGTGTGTATGTCCTTATGTCCTCTAAGCCATGCGTGTGCATGCAGAGGTCAGAGGCTGACATCAGGAGTTCTCAATTACTGTCTACCTTTTTGATACAGGGTCTCTCATTGAAGCTAAAGCTCACTATTTTTGGCTAGATTGACTACCCAGCAAGACCCTGGGACTCACCTCTTTCTGTTCCCTCAATGCTAAGGTTACAGATGCGCACCACCACACCTGGCTTTTACATGGGTACTGGGATCTGAACTCAGGTCCTCATGCTTGCTCAACAAGCACGTTACCCACTGAGGCATCTCTTTGACCCTTCAATGGCATCTTCTGTGTCAGGATTTTTGCCATGGGTCTTTACTTTACAACAGCAGCCAATTACCTCAAGAGTTTCCTTTCCATATACCTTGCCTACTCATTCTATCTTGACTGAATTAATTTGGCATTCAGAACACTGCACCTTAACTGGTTCTGTATACCATGGTTCATTGTAGTGGGAAGGAAACACACAAAGATGTAAATTCTCCATGTGAGGCCATGATGTATAAGTGAGGAGACCTTAAGAAACGCAGGTCAGGTCCATCCTACTTCTAGCCTCACTACACCAGGCATTGCATGGATAGTCCTGCTTAAAGAATGGTAGTGATTCATCTGAGTTTTAGTTTTCTTCCCCAACTAAAACTATATACTAGATAATGAGGAAAGTGATGTAGCTCAAAGGTATTTTTGTCATGTAAATACTATGTGAATAGTTATATTTGGAAACTTTAAACATGATCTCTGTTGGAAATGTTGACCATATATTTGTTTGTAAGTATTATCCACAATGTTACTATAAATTAAATATTACTGAAGCTTAAAAATCTGGATCTACTACAATCTACCAAGAAGATTAATCATGTATGATTGCCTGAAATTCCCCTCGACCTTATTTTTGCTTGTTTTGCTTTGTGTGTGTGCGTGTGTGTTTGCCGTGGTGTGCAGGTAGAGGTCAGATGTCAACTTTTGGGAGTTGACTCTCTCCTTCCACCATGTGGGTCTCCGTAATCAAACTGAGGTTGTTAGGCTTGGCTGTGAGGGTCGTCCCTGCTGCACCATCTCCCTAGCTCAAACCTAGGATTCCAGTGGTCCTCTCTAACAAGTTCTTGTTTACTGAATCAGTTCATAGACACTTGTTCCAGCTAGGGATATTGACTATATGATTATTTAGATCTACTGTTTGATATTGTAGTAAATAAAGGATCTCACACAAAGAGAAAATGAAAGCTGGAATGTTGAGTATAGTAAGGCCTAAGTGATAGTGCAGAGTTTAAGCATCAGCTCACACATGTGCTAGGAAAAGGTATCAAGTATTAAGCCGTTGTTAATAACAGCAGTTGCTACTGAACTTCTAAAATGTTTACATATCCCAGTTGTATAGTAGTAGGAAAGCATCTTTTGCAGTTTTGAAAATAATTGGATGCCTCTAATTTTATATGTATGGGTGTTTTGTATATGTTATGCCTGTGCAATATATATATGTGTGTGTGTGTGTGTGTGTGTGTGTGTGTGTATGTATCTGTCTGTCACCCTCAGAGGCCCTGGAACTGGAGTTGCAGACATGTCTGAGCTGCCATGTGGGTGCTAGGAATTGACTCCAGATCCTCTACAGGAGCAGCAAATGCACTTAACTCTCTCTAGACCCCTGGGTGCCTTTGCTATTTGCTGTTTCCTATGCTGTTAAAGTTGTCTCTTTACAAGTCATTATTCCATATCCTTGATGTAGTATCTGTTTCCTCATCAGGTGTGCCCCCAGGTCCTGCCTATGGGAAGCTGAAAAATGGAATTTCTGTTGTTTTGGATAATGGAGTTACAATTTCTCCCCAAGATGTCCTAAAAAAGCCTATGGTTGGGAGAAAAATCTGCATATTGGGTGACTGTTCTGGGGTTGTGGGTGATGGTGGAGTGAAGCTGTGCTTTGAAGCGGACCTGTTGATCCATGAGGCGACTCTGGATGATTCCCAGATGGACAAAGCAAAAGAGCATGGCCACAGCACGCCACAGATGGCAGCAGCATTTGCGAAGCTGTGCCGTGCCAAGAGGCTGGTTCTGACTCACTTCAGTCAGAGGTACAAACCGACGGCCTTGGCTAGAGAGGGGGAGACAGATGGCATTGCAGAACTGAAAAAGCAAGCTGAGGCAGTGTTAGGCCTCCAAGAAGTGACTCTAGCGGAGGATTTTATGGTGATCGGCATTCCAATCAAGAAATGAAACCAGTGCTCCTGAATGCATAAATGTGGACTTGGCTGTGGATGTGTTGTTACCAGATCTGCACTACAAACTACTTTTGTTGTTGGTTGTGAGTGACTTTTTTTTCTTAAAGTTTTGGAATTTTTTTCCCTTAAAATCATTTTGACCCTAACATCCTAAAGATAGAGCTGAATTGCTGAGCTGACTCAGTAGTGAGAGGGACCAAGATTTTTAACAATAAATCATTTTTAAATGGTAAAAATACCCAGCATCCTTTTTAGAGTGCAGATGTGACAAAATAATCGATTTTTCAGGGTTATTCCTTTTGTGTCTCTTGCCACAGATAGAAGCCAATACTCCACACAGTATTGGACTTAGCTCTGCCCAGGCAAAGTATCTAGGACTGGGTCCTTTCAGCTAAAAAATGGTATTTGGCAATTTGTATAAAAGTTGTGTCCTAACACAGAGTTCAATGTATGGAGGCAGTATATGTACAGTATTGAAGATAACATTTTGGGGGTTTCACTTGAATAGTCAGTGCAGGTTTGGACTAGGTTTTAGCATTTTATTAAACATTCTGGTTCCCTTCAACACATGGCAGTCTACTAGGAACTACTAGGAATAGCATGGGATTCTTTTTCTTGTTGCAGTGACTGAGGGGAGATGGTGGCTCCACAGTCATTCAGTCAGTGGGAGTCAGAGATGCCCTGTGCCCTGCACAGTTTGGGTTAGTCCTGCATAATCATTACTTTGAAATTCTAGGCCTGTTCAGAGACACAAAACTTTTTTTCCCAATGTGAATATGCTTTGCCAAAATTAGTGATGTAATGGATTGAATTAATAGATAAGCTAAATCTTCCAATAGATGGTTAGAATGAAATGCCACATCAAGTATTATTTGGAAGAAATGAGTCATTAAGTGAAGCTTGTAACTGTGGGTAGAAATAGTCAGGATTCCACCACGTGGGGAGAGTGTCTGCTCCAGGTCCAGCGGCCCAGGAGCTGTGCTGAGTTGAGTGTGGAGGTGGACTGAGAGCTCCTGGCTCTGCCCCATAGACTAAGTGAGGAGTCAGAGTGGCCCCAGCCACTGCATGCGAAGCTGCCTGAGTGATTCTGAAGACGTGACTGATGGACTAGCCTAGGAGAAAATAGACTTTTTTATGTACTTAATTGAGGGGTATATATAGAAATATTTTATAGATTCTTATACATATGTTTGTGTATGTGCATAGTTTATTCATGCATATTTTTACATGAAGGCTGACCTCCCTCCACTATTTTCGTAAAATAAAGATATTTTATTGGATAAACAAAAACTAGGATTTTATTATCAAAAACCCTCTGTAAGAAACTCTGAGGCATTATTTTTGGCACAATAAAAACTTTGAAAACCATAAAGGGGCAAGCAGATGAGTGATGTAGAGAAACACTGTAGGGCTTCAAAAGAAAACACTTGCTAACAGACGAGTCCTTAACTACTTTCTCCATTAGCACTTTCTACAGCACTAAATGGTCTCTGAAAGAATGAAGTTAGTGGTTCTATTTCATTTCAGAGTTGTATCTTGGAGCACTGAGGTTGTTTTCTGTTAGTAGAAGTAAAACTGACACGGGGTTCCTATGTACAAATATCTGTATCTCCAAGTTGTTCCTTCATTGTAGTTGATCTCTCTGAATGTTGACATCTTAGTCAGGCATGGTGGCACAAACCTGTTTCCTTTGCATTTGTGAGGCTAAGGCAGGAGAATTTGAGATCCAGGAGAGACTGGACTACATAGTAAGACTTTATCTCAAACAAAAGCAAAAACCAAGGACAGAAAGAAAGGCACCTGACTTACATATTTCATGTTCATTCACATTCCTAACCACCACCACAGAGCAGTGACCTGTTTTATTACTCTATTGAAGATATGACTTCATCAGTTTAAAAAAAACTTCCTCTCCCTCTCCCTCTCCTCCCTCTCCCTCTCCTCCCTCTCCCTCTCCCTCTCCTCCCTCTCCCTCTCCCTCTCCCTCTCCCTCTGCTTTTGAACAAGTCTCACTGTGTAGCCCAACCTGGCCTCAAGCTGGTTCTCCTGCTTGAGAGCTGGGTTCTAAGCATGTACTTTTAATCTGACCATAATGTTTTGAATATTTGTTTCCCAAGAAAGGGTTATAATTTTTAGGCTGAGAGTGCAGCTTGGGGGGTAGAACACTTACTTAGAATGTCTGAAGCACTGGGTTTGATCTGTAGTATAAAAAGAAAAAATGACTTTTGCCTCCTAGTGCAAATATTTTTATTATGCCTTTAATACATATAATTCAACTCTTATTTCTTTGAATATTCTGATGCCAGCTTGAAAATTTTCTACTTTCTCCTGTACTAATGAAATACAAATCCTTTTTCAATGTGTCCATCACAAATGGACAGTGATGACACTTTATCTCACAGAGGTGTATGTATGTGGTGAGGTGTCCTGGGTCTGTTCTCACTGGCAGATTTGAGGGCTAATGAACTAATAAAGGCAATCAATGGGGCCATTTCCACACCCCCGCCCTTCTCTTTTCTTTTTTCCTTTGAGATGGGTCTCATGTAGTCCAGACTACCCTTCAACTTGCTATGTAGCCAAGGATGACCTTGAACTTCTGATGCTTCTGCCTCTGCCTCCAGAATGCTGGAATAACAGTCATCTGTCACCAGGTTTGCGTGGCACTGGGAAGCCAGGACTTGTGCCTGCTAAGCAAACACTACTAACTGAACTACATCCCAAAGCCCAAATATGTGGAATTTTTGTTTATTTTTATAGGGGAATATTAAAAAGGAAGCACTGGTTGTAACTTTGAATATTCTCTCTTGATACACAAGAAGTAAGTGTAAGGAGATACTTTGGGGTAGTGGTGTGTAACTTTTCTTCTCTTTGGTGTACAAAAATGAAAAACAACCATTTAAGCATATCATGTTTTAAAAAGCAAGGAAAGTGTCTGGGAGCATAGCTTGGGTAGAAAAGTGGTTAGGTCTTGGGTTTGATCCCCAGTGTCCCCCACTTGAATCCCCCCTATGGAAAACAAAGGACTATGGATGGTTAAAAGTGAATTCAGATTATAAGAACGCATGAAAATGTGACAATGCAACTCACTGTTTTGCACACTTAACATGTACTAATAACTTTTCTAAGTAGAGAAAGCAGTTGTGGCAAAGGGGGGCAGAAGTTTGGGGAGGAAAGACTACCACTTTTGTTGGTGGCTTCTAATCACTAGTATGAAGGGTGTTGAGACTGTATATATATATCCATTTAGTATAGCAGTTGCATCACAGCACACCCATAGAGATAAACCACTTCTCTGAATAGTTGTCTGTTGGTACTCCAGGCAGCTGACAGTTCAGCTCGAGTCCTTGTAATATTCCTGTTTATCATCTGTACTGTAGCCAGAGTGGTGTTTTCCCCCCAAAATGTAAAATTTTGCCATCTCTCCCTGACTTGAAACATTGTAGTGGTCTGGCTTCACTCATCTCTCTAACTTAATCTTACTACCCAGTGTTACTCAAGTTTGCAGCCCCAGCCATGTGGGCCTTCTTTCTGTCCTTCACCAAGGTTTTTTGATGTTCCAGAGCCTTTCAGTGGCCTGCTTCCTTCACCTGAAATGCCATTTGCCATTCCCCAAATCAACCTAGTGAACCTCCAGGCCTCAGCTCTGCTGTCAGGCCTCATGGACTTTGCCTGCCCAGCTCCTGTTAGGTGGTGTGTTTTTCTCAGCACCTGCAACCCATCTTCCTGGCACTTGTAACTCACAGCTTCGTTCTGCCTCTGTATGTGATGTTTCTCTTTCATGCCAGCTCTGTACCCCACACAAGGGCAGAGCCGTGTCTGCTTCTGTTCCCCTTTATGACTACTCAGTGCCTAGAACATCAAAGGCATTCAATAAATAGTGTTTACTGGATCAAATGTTCTTGTCCTGTTGTTCATACTTAGTACTTTGTTATCCAATGGTTCATGTTAAAAACACACAAAATTCACAGACCTAATCTATAACACCAAGGAGGAGGTGAAGAACTCTTGCCTGTGATGTTAGTGGGCAAATCCTTACAAGTAACATTTTGGAACTTTGGTGTTGTGTTCTAAGACAAAGCCTTAGAGTCAGGGGAAAGACAAGAGAAAGATTTGCTCTACCTAAGAGTTGGATGCCAGCTTAGGTTGTGTAAGGATATTAGAGCAAAGAGAGAAAGAGGGGATGAGGGCTGAGCCTTGGGAAATAGTCTGCAGATTTATACAGGGTAGAGGAATGATATAAGAGCCTCATTCAACTTTTTGCTTGTTTTGTTTTGTTTTGTTTTTGGAGACAGTGTTTTCTGTAGCTTTGAAGCCTGTCCTGGAACTCACTTTGTAGATCAGGCTGGCCTCAAACTCACAGAGATCCACTTGTCTCTGCCTCCCAAGTGCTGGAAGTAAAGGTGTGTGCCACCACTGCCCAGCTTCATTCAACTTTTTTTAAGGAAATAATTCATTCTGACCCAATTCAGAATAACTGTGACCTGGCAATACTAATACAAGCTACCTTGAATGATGTGTTTTATTACTGGCTTGTTGCTCAGAATTGAATCCCTGCCTAACTCTAAACCTTGCGTTTAGGTTTAGGTCCATGTTTAGAGGATTCCTTGCCAGCTCTGCACGTCACTAATTGAGAACAATTTCTGAATTCTATGACAGTCCTACATGGGGAAGGTGGACAGTGGCAGGAGATAGCAGACAATCCCTAATGGAGAACGGTTTCAGAAATTGTAGTCAGGTAACCACGAACTCCCCAGGAAATGACCAAAAGGTTAGAAGTAGGCACAGACCTTTACATAACCCCTATGACGAGCCAGCTTCAGTCATATCTAAAGGACAAGATGACTCTAATTGACACCTAGACTCAGATATTTCTGTGTTCTTGATGAAGTCTGAGGGTTGGATAACGTTGTCCTTATTTGTCTGGTTAATAAGGAAGTTGGGGTGCCTAAGTATGCTCAAAGCAAAAAAAAAAAACACCCTTAAATAAAGCTACCTGAGAAGTCCTGCTACTCAGATGTCAGCCTGCTAATTATATACTCAGCAGACATGGCAGGTACAAAGATTAAATTCACCCACAAGAAAAAAAAAGTGCAAGGGAAAAGCGAGGGATCAGGTTTTTCAGCAATATAAATCTCCTTAGCCGCCAGGCTGTTCAGTCAGCACCGACAGAACTAAGCAGCACTTAGTTCAGTGTCACCCAGCAAAACAAGGTCATCTTGTCCAGGTTTTCTACATTGTTGTGACTTCTAGAGGTGATGGGTTAGTCTGACTGTGTCTCTTTCATAAGTCTGGACTGGAACTGACCTTGAAGTGTCCAGGTCTGGGTCAGCAACCCAAGGGCCTTGCCACCACAGGACACATTGACACACAGCTAGCAGAGTCTAGAACACAGTCCCTTTCTCCTGCACAGACCTACCTGTGAGGCGGTGTCATCTAGGACAATAGTCTTGGAACTGGCTGCCTTTCCTGAAATGTGCGGTCTTACTTTTGAATGGAACACTTCCAGTGTTTCATCTTCCTGAAAACGAGCAGGGCCAGTGCCATGGTAGTCCAGTGTGTGAAGTCAGGATGAGGAGCCTTCAAGTTACCAAAGACAAGGAAAATGGACATATTGGTACCAGAGCTCAAGCATTAATGGTTAGGTAACAAATTCTTTCACAAGTCAAGTTTCCAATTTGTTGTCTAGAAAAACATGAGGGAGGATGTAATTTGTCCAACAATGTTAGGTTTGGGTTTTTTTGTTGTTTTGGTTGGTTAGTTGGTTTTGTTTTTGCTGGGTATTAAACACAGTGATATTTTAAAGACAAACAACTTTATGGAGCTTGATTTCACATAGCTTACAATTCAATGTGCAACTATCCTTCCTACCAGTTTTAGAATGCTTTTATTATCCCCAGAGAAACCCCATAATTTTGACAGTTAGTCATTCCCACTTCTTACCTTCCCTCTCTTCCCAAGCCCCCTAGCTACGCAAAACCTCGAGTCTGTTTTCTGGCTCTATAGATTTTCCAGTTCTGAACATTTTGTATGAATATGAGCTCCTTAGTAAATAGATTCTTCCACTCAGCATATTTTCAATATATATATCCCATCAGCAATTTGTCCTTTTATGGCTAAATACTATATGGATACACTTCATTTTATTTATCCATGATTCAGTAGATTGGATAGGTTAGTTTAAAATATTTTCCATAAAATACCTATATTAAGAATGTAAAAGGAGATATTGATACAGATGTTATAAACATTAATATGATAAAAATAATCCATAAATAGTGTTAATATTAGGTGACATTACTAAAGCAATTTTTTTCAAAAAAGTAAAAGTTGGGAGCCAAGCACCGTGGTGCATTTCTGCACTCCTGGCATTTAAGATGTTGAAGCAGGTCAGCTGGGGCTGCACAGTCAAACCCTGACTCAAAAAAAAAAATCAACAAGAACATGGACCAAAACAAACTCAACTTCCCTCCCCTCCCCTCCTCTCCCCTCCCCTCCCCTCCCCTCCCCAACAGTTAGACAGATTGGTTTTGTTTGCCTGTAGTCCCAGCTACGTGGAGAAGGTCTGGGGCCCAGGAGTTTGAGGCTGGCTATGCCGACATAGTTGAGACCCTGTCTCAAAATTTAAAAAAGAAAAAAAAGGAAGAGAACAACCCAAACACAGGTTGCCAGAACTTACACTTTACTTTTATAAAAAGTTAAAAATACATAGTATGAACTTTTCAAAAAATTCTTAAGAATATTTTTTTTTAAAGTCTAATTTATGGCTAAAAATCTTGCAAGTTTTGCTGGTTCCCATTAGTGAATTATTCTAAAGAAAAACACCTTTCTTCCAGAGATACTTCTACAAGGAAAAAAAGGAGATTTGTCCCAGCTCATTTTATGAGGTCAGTGTAATCTAGATGATGCCAAAATGGAAGGACATTAAAAGAAATGACAATTACATGTTAATCTCCCCCATAAAACCCTGAAGAAAATAATTAGCTAATTGAATCCAGTGACATATATTAAAAAAGACATCTTTATAAGGGACATTCATCCAGGAATGCAAAGTTTGTTAGCATTGGAAAATCATTGCTATTCACATCAACAAAAATGGGAGAGTGGTAAGATGATCTCCCAGATAGAGAAATTTTTGTATAAAACTTAACATTCATTTATAATAATAATTCTGTTCATATTAAGACTAGGGACGCCTTTATTTTAATCAGTAATATCTGAAAAATACAGTAAATGCTGTACCTACTAATAAAAGTTTTGTCTCTAATAAACATTTAAGGATATCTACTTGGTACCATATTCATAGTATTGTTTTTAGGGTTTTGTTGGATTGTGTGTTTGTTTGTTTTTGTCCCAGCTTTGTTATGCCAAACATGGGGACAATCCCCTCCTCACCTCTGGGTAGAGAGCTCTCCTAACTTTCCTTAAAAGTCCCACATGACCCTACTTCCCCATGACCAAGTTCTAGGAACCCCGTGAGAAAAGAGCAACAGGAACTTCTGCTCACAGACACCCCAGATAGTGCCTGATCTCCTGCTGGAAGGGGTATAAGGCAACAGCTTAGTCCAACCTGGTAGGTGAGATGCTCTCACGGGTCTCCAATGAGACCCGCTCACTCAGTGAGCCAGCTGCTGGAAGGAGTTTGTTTGGGTCTATGTTTTTGTTGGTGGTTTTCTGTGCTGTGCAGTTTCTGCAGCCTGTGCACCAACTCCCTCACCATGCTATCCACTCCTGTTGTGGGGTTTGGGGCCATCAGGGAGCCCACCCCCTTTGGGCAGGTGGAGCATCCCATCTGCACAGAGGCTTTACCCCTCCCAACACTGGTACCAGTAACTGTCCACAGTATTGACACAGCACTGGAAACAGCTGGCCTCTTGAGTGTTGCTTTCATCCACATCTGGTTGGCAAGTATCTCCCTGCCATCACACAGGCAGCAGCAGTGGCCCGGGAGGATGCAGCTCCCTTCATTCCCATGTAGATGCTGCCATGTTGCTGCTCTACAAGAGGATCTTGGGATGCCCGCTGGTTCTCTTCCAACCAGTGCAGCAAGCATAACAAAACCTAGTGACCAGAGCAGCAAGCATAACAAGGCCTGGTGGCAGTCACCCAGGGCTGTGGAGATAGACAGTCTGGTAGATGGTTCTGTAGGTGCTGCAGATGCACTGTCCATTCCAAGTGAGGAGGAAAGGCTGGTACACACGCTTCACAAAGGACTCTGAGACGGGGGCCTCCAGAAAACCCCATGGCACACACTCTGCAGCTGGACCTGTAGACATGGTCAGTACTACCTGCTGCCAACACTAGAAACCATGCCACAAGCAGCTCCTGGGAAGCCCCACCTGGTTCGTGTCTCTAAACTTCCTTCTTTTGGTGGCTGAGTAGTCCTGGGCATGCACTATAGCATAATTGCCTAAATGTCATACAATAAAACAAGGCATATAAATAAGTAAATATGTAAGAACTAAAAAGAAAAGGATACAATGGTTGTTGATGGCAGATGATGTAATCACATGGGTAGGGAGTCCAAAAGAGCTAAACAGATAACTTGTAAGGATTAATAAATGAGCTTAGCCAGGTTGCAGAGCATAGTTAACGTAGGAAATAATGTTTATGTATAACATACAGGGGAAAGCTCCCTTTGCAAGAGCTATGAAAAGTGATGTCTACATTTTCAAAATCTTTCAGAGGGCATATGAACAAAAAAGTTTAAGGGTCACTGGTGTAACAGATGAAATCATAGGTGCTGACACAAGTTTGTGGTGTGACTTTGGAGGAATTACTTCATCTCTCCTGCGGCTCATTTCCTCTGTCTATCAATGTGGGGTAGCAGCAGGATTCTAATGAGTATGTTGTCATGGTGACTGAATGACAAGTGCTTAGGACAGAAAGTTCTGTAT